ACGCACATCAACGATACTTGTTTAGGGAAGCATACAAAGGAGGAACTGGTGAGAGGTTTGCCATTGCGCGACCGAAGGACCAGCTGGACAGAAACACTGATCCTTTGGAGGGCACCACTATCAACAGGTATTGCACAATCTTCGCTCAGCTGCTCAACGCACATCAACGATACTTGTTTAGGGAAGCATACAAAGGAGGAACTGGTGAGAGGTTTGCCATGGCGCGACCGAAGGACCAGCTGGACAGAAACACTGATCCTTTGGAGGGCACCACTATCAACAGGTATTGCACAATCTTCGCTCAGCTGCTCAACGCACATCAACGATACTTGTTTAGGGAAGCATACAAAGGAGGAACTGGTGAGAGGTTTGCCATGGCGCGACCGAAGGACCAGCTGGACAGAAACACTGATCCTTTGGAGGGCACCACTATCAACAGGTATTGCACAATCTTCGCTCAGCTGCTCAACGCACATCAACGATACTTGTTTAGGGAAGCATACAAAGGAGGAACTGGTGAGAGGTTTGCCATGGCGCGACCGAAGGACCAGCTGGACAGAAACACTGATCCTTTGGAGGGCACCACTATCAACAGGTATTGCACAATCTTCGCTCAGCTGCTCAACGCACATCAACGATACTTGTTTAGGGAAGCATACAAAGGAGGAACTGGTGAGAGGTTTGCCATGGCGCGACCGAAGGACCAGCTGGACAGAAACACTGATCCTTTGGAGGGCACCACTATCAACAGGTATTGCACAATCTTCGCTCAGCTGCTCAACGCACATCAACGATACTTGTTTAGGGAAGCATACAAAGGAGGAACTGGTGAGAGGTTTGCCATGGCGCGACCGAAGGACCAGCTGGACAGAAACACTGATCCTTTGGAGGGCACCACTATCAACAGGTATTGCACAATCTTCGCTCAGCTGCTCAACGCACATCAACGATACTTGTTTAGGGAAGCATACAGAGGAGGAACTGGTGAGAGGTTTGCCATGGCGCGACCGAAGGACCAGCTGGACAGAAACACTGATCCTTTGGAGGGCACCACTATCAACAGGTATTGCACAATCTTCGCTCAGCTGCTCAACGCACATCAACGATACTTGTTTAGGGAAGCATACAAAGGAGGAACTGGTGAGAGGTTTGCCATGGCGCGACCGAAGGACCAGCTGGACAGAAACACTGATCCTTTGGAGGGCACCACTATCAACAGGTATTGCACAATCTTCGCTCAGCTGCTCAACGCACATCAACGATACTTGTTTAGGGAAGCATACAAAGGAGGAACTGGTGAGAGGTTTGCCATGGCGCGACCGAAGGACCAGCTGGACAGAAACACTGATCCTTTGGAGGGCACCACTATCAACAGGTATTGCACAATCTTCGCTCAGCTGCTCAACGCACATCAACGATGCTTGTTTAGGGAAGCATACAAAGGAGGAACTGGTGAGAGGTTTGCCATGGCGCGACCGAAGGACCAGCTGGACAGAAACACTGATCCTTTGGAGGGCACCACTATCAACAGGTATTGCACAATCTTCGCTCAGCTGCTCAACGCACATCAACGATACTTGTTTAGGGAAGCATACAAAGGAGGAACTGGTGAGAGGTTTGCCATGGCGCGACCGAAGGACCAGCTGGACAGAAACACTGATCCTTTGGAGGGCACCACTATCAACAGGTATTGCACAATCTTCGCTCAGCTGCTCAACGCACATCAACGATACTTGTTTAGGGAAGCATACAAAGGAGGAACTGGTGAGAGGTTTGCCATGGCGCGACCGAAGGACCAGCTGGACAGAAACACTGATCCTTTGGAGGGCACCACTATCAACAGGTATTGCACAATCTTCGCTCAGCTGCTCAACGCACATCAACGATACTTGTTTAGGGAAGCATACAAAGGAGGAACTGGTGAGAGGTTTGCCATGGCGCGACCGAAGGACCAGCTGGACAGAAACACTGATCCTTTGGAGGGCACCACTATCAACAGGTATTGCACAATCTTCGCTCAGCTGCTCAACGCACATCAACGATACTTGTTTAGGGAAGCATACAAAGGAGGAACTGGTGAGAGGTTTGCCATGGCGCGACCGAAGGACCAGCTGGACAGAAACACTGATCCTTTGGAGGGCACCACTATCAACAGGTATTGCACAATCTTCGCTCAGCTGCTCAACGCACATCAACGATACTTGTTTAGGGAAGCATACAAAGGAGGAACTGGTGAGAGGTTTGCCATGGCGCGACCGAAGGACCAGCTGGACAGAAACACTGATCCTTTGGAGGGCACCACTATCAACAGGTATTGCACAATCTTCGCTCAGCTGCTCAACGCACATCAACGATGCTTGTTTAGGGAAGCATACAAAGGAGGAACTGGTGAGAGGTTTGCCATGGCGCGACCGAAGGACCAGCTGGACAGAAACACTGATCCTTTGGAGGGCACCACTATCAACAGGTATTGCACAATCTTCGCTCAGCTGCTCAACGCACATCAACGATACTTGTTTAGGGAAGCATACAAAGGAGGAACTGGTGAGAGGTTTGCCATGGCGCGACCGAAGGACCAGCTGGACAGAAACACTGATCCTTTGGAGGGCACCACTATCAACAGGTATTGCACAATCTTCGCTCAGCTGCTCAACGCACATCAACGATACTTGTTTAGGGAAGCATACAAAGGAGGAACTGGTGAGAGGTTTGCCATGGCGCGACCGAAGGACCAGCTGGACAGAAACACTGATCCTTTGGAGGGCACCACTATCAACAGGTATTGCACAATCTTCGCTCAGCTGCTCAACGCACATCAACGATACTTGTTTAGGGAAGCATACAAAGGAGGAACTGGTGAGAGGTTTGCCATGGCGCGACCGAAGGACCAACTGGACAGAAGCACTGATCCTTTGGAGGGCACCACTACGTGCAGGTGAGAATTGTATTTTACGGCTTCAATTTGAATTCTTGCATTATATAGGATTTGTATGTGATTTAGGGAGTCGTACCGTTACATATCCAACTCTTTAACTAAACCTCGCTACACTCCGGCAAAGGCGTCTGGTACTCGTATAGTTTCTGCGAAACCGATCTCACATATAGCCGACCATCTCAACTGGCTTTAAGAAAGGAAATTTCTTCTCAACTTACTCAACTTTCATATGTATGGTGGCTAAGCAGGGTTTTCCTTCAGCTTTTTTTTTCATGCAGCTGTGCCAAGCCGTATATAAAGCGAATGTCTATTTTTGTGTATGATATGTCTTAACGGAAAACTCCATTCGTATATTGATCTGAATCAAACTTTGCACACGTACACTTCGGGCTGGTGGTGTCGTAAGTACATTTCATTACTATCCGTATCGACATCACCTTTTTTTGCTAAAGAAGCCAGGTCGCTAGAGTTCGTACGGAGCATTGCGCACGCTGATTATGAAAAAATGGTGGGGTCAAAGGTCTGGTACATGAAATTTGAACAGAACAGGAAAGTGTTGTACAGAATCAAAGAATAACTATTTGTAAGCATAATTAACTTACTGTTTACGCTATTTCTCTGATTTTTCAGAATTAATTTTGTACTAAAAATTTACTGTCACTTATCGACGAAAAAACAACTAAAATAGGAGAGGCAACTTATAGTATGAAACGCGGCAGGGCCAGACATTTAAGAGATAAGAAAAAGAGAAGCAGTATGCTACAATGATATCGCTCAGCAATCTTTACCCCTACCTTGTGGGACGTCAATAAGTATCGGATGCTGGATGTTCGGTTGGTAAACACAAGCTACAGATGTCTCAAAAAGGAAGTTTGTGCAAATATCTTCAAGTAAATGACTTTATGAGCATACGTGATAATTGACATCAGAAAAACATGTGAACACATTGAATAAACCAGTCAGAAATTCACAGAGATAACAAGGACAATCATCTACCTGAACAATTGAAATAATGTAATAAACTCATACAGATCATGCAATGAACAGCGAGACTTTTCATAGGACTTCGAGCAATTGTTAGGCTAAAGGCTACTGCTGGACGAAGGCAGCGCTCCGAGCAGACCGCGAGGATATTTAACCTGTGGCCGTATTCATCAACAAACCCAGTGGGTTCCGCTACCCAGTAGGTAAGCGAAAATAGTCCCACTGGGTTGGATCGATATTCACAAAAAGCATTACTGGGTACGCGAACCCGCTAGCTTCGTGAATACCAATCTCGTGGGTGACGTGGGTACTCAGTGGGTTTTGGAACAACTGGGTTCATTGGTGAATACGGCCACTGTCTTCCCAAAAGATGGGAGAGCATCGGTTTTGGGGGAGGGGGGAGGAGGGGGGAATATTGGACCTACCTAAGCTTGCGTTCATTCTCGGAAGTTCCGGTAAAGTTCCAGTACAGCGCTCAAACAGTGCCTAAACTGCGCTGCAGGCGCCCGCATGCGATTTTCAGCGGCGGGAAATAGTAATTTAGACTCTTTTCAACGGTTTCCAATGCAAAATTGTTGTTTTCGTCTCAATATTGTATTTGGCCTCCTCTTGTGGTGAAGAGAGTTCCAAACTCAGAGCAAGATTGGAGATTGAACTTTTTTGTGCATTGCGTTGCGTAAAAGCCGTATCCGCTTTTGCGCGCCCGTTCCCCTCCACAAGTTTTTTCGGGAACCCTCTCTCTATCCTTCAAAAAACCGCTGCATCCTCGATAAAGCCAGCTGTCTTCAAACAAAATTAATACAATCACCACGCGGAGAATGAAAAATTTTCTTTTGTTTTGATGTGGTTTTTGGGCGTTTCAGCCACATTTCTCTTCAGAAATCATACGCATGATCCTTCATTCCCTGTTCCGCTTCCGATGAAAAAAACCAAACTTGGAGCAATGTACAAAAGTGGATGCTTCTTCTTGGTTGGTTCTTTGGAGAAAGTTTCAGGTAACACACAAAAGACATTATACATTTCGAACTTCGCTCCACATTTGTAACTTTTTTTGTTATTGCAAGAGGAAGCATGATGAAAGATTGGGACGAAAACGAGAGGGATTTACTACGAAAACAGTCGAAAACAGTCAAAAGTTGCTATTTTCCGCCGTTCACTTCCTTGTACGGCGAATGCGGCATGGTTCCGGCACAAGTCTGAGCGCTGGCTGGAACGCTAATATGAACACAGCCCAACGCATCCCGTATTGATTGGCATAGGCGTGCGGTTGCGCAGCGATACAAGTTTAGCAGACTGCCGGAAATGTACGTGTTTGTACTTGTTCCCGTTTGTCACACGCTATAAACGCACTGTTCGGCATGATGTACTTAGGTTATGAAAATGGTACAAAAAACTGCAAAAACACAACAATAAAATCAAGTTAATATAATCACATAAGATCAATATTATTAGTATAACAGATGGTGTTTGGCACGAAAATATTCGCATCCAAAGATTCCAAGTATAGAGATTGAACAGCAGAACATAATTTGAATCTACGCGTCGCATATAAGACGGTGTAACAATAATATACAATTCACACTAGGAAACATGAATAAAACGAATCGGCACTGTTGCATCACATATGAACTATCAGAATATTCGATTTTTCATACATATCACGCCGATCAACTCGTAAGTGCATGGCTGAGTTTTGCAACGAGGGCAGCATCAGCAGAAGTGAGATCAAACGAGATACTTGGTCGCGATGGCAGCAACATCGTTGATGCTGTTGGATGCGTAAGTAAGATTTCAGCTACCCTTAAAAAATTGCATGAAAACATCAAGACATAATCTTGTGTGAAAATTATCACTCTGGTGAATTCTGCTACCAATATCTTATCATGAGTGAATTTCTGTGCATCAGGCCAAAGATACGGAAATCAAAACAGTCCTCTAATACATTAGTATTATAATTGTCCTTTTAGCTCTGGTCCTTTTTTACTCCATTCTTACTATTTTCAGAAGTCGTCAGCAGTAGCAAACAACTGACTGATTTTTTACTATGTGGCTGGCTATATTTGTGTTCCAGTGTTTTTTAGCGCATTTTGAGTGCATGATATAGACAAAAAAAAGACAGAAGATATTAAATTTTTTGTAGATTTTATGGAAGATACAAAGGACTTTTTGAGGTGGAAGGAGGGGCAGATTCGGGGTGGGAGGGGGGGGGGGGGGGGGTTCTGGGAGACTGTCGTGCCTTCGGGAAACACTCTCTGGGATAGTAGCAAGCTTCTAGCGAATTCTACAAAAATGGTCAGAAATTTCAGAAGCTGACTAAAATGTTTGAGAAGTTAGGGTCTATGTTGATCATCTACGATCGACAATCACAATGTACTGCAAAATCTAACAGCTAGCGTAGATTTCTCACAATCTAGAACCGCATAAAAAATTTTTCTATCATTGACTGACAAAGTCCTAAAAGTACAATGGATATCATAATGTGATCCCATTGAGACACTAAAAGTCGTCAATCATCCCCCCCCCCCTAGCCCAAACCTCGCGTTGTATGATTACAGCAAACTAAGATCTCTTTTTTCCAATTAGTAAATTCCCATATTCTGCACATTTATCTCCACTTATGATAATTTATCATTTTAGTCAGTGGGTAGTATGAAGAACGAAGAAACTCTGATTTCAAATGGCAGAAATCCAGTAAATGCCTTTTACCCTGAATCTGACCCCAATATTTCCCAAGTAATATGCGACGATTATTGACGTTCAAAGAGTGAAAGGAGATAAAATAGTGCAAAAAAAGCATGTTATCAGCAATGAGCGAAGTATTAGTGCCATTCACTTTCCTGCTAGATTTTCTTCCTGAACCTCTCTGACCAAACAATCCGTCTTTATTTGGATCACATGCTTTGACTGAGGGATAATATTGATAACGGTTGGTTGCAAGGTGACAACACTTTTTTTGAAATTATGACTCAGACACTGCAAGCTGTTTCACTTTCTTCGACCATCTGCGTAACGACAAGAGTTTGAACGCAGTTCAAAGCAAAACAAATCTGATGCCTTGAAAAAATAAAGGCCAGAAAATAATCTCACCGAAATATGACATTTTCATCGGTAAGTGACGTCAACCGGCGATGTAATTCACTTAGTGGAAGTGTTCGTGCACGAGATGGTGGACTAGATGCTCCGACGGACGATGACGAAGATGGCGATGATTCAGACAGCGATGACTAAAAATGGTAGATGACGAAAACTTTACGAAAACTCTACCGAGTTCAAAAACTAAGCATTGCTCAGAAGAAAGATACCGATTTCTAAATTAATAATGATAGCCCAAGCTTCACTCGAATTTGTTCGCGGCCAAAAAATTTAGCTTTGAAGTCTCGCCCATACCGTAGGAGTTCCCCATTACGATACGGTAATGGGTGAGAATTAGAGTCACACTTCTCGGGCGAGGATAAATCATATGAGCTCCCGCTTGGGCAATAATCCAGTAAAAGCTTCCTAATCAGTATTCACAGAAGCCCAGATGCCCATGTTTGCCTAGACACTGCCTTTAGAATTCTCAAAAGCTTACCGAATCGCTCGAGCTGTCTTGTCCCCGATCTTCGGTTTTTGTAGGAGCCACCTTTACCGGCCTTTGCGGTGTGACCGTGCTACGTTGCAGTAATGAAGTGTCCATAGGTGAAGGACTGGGTGAGGAGTCACGTATCGGTACCAGTTCGCGATCTGTGCTGTCCTGGAAAAAAATCAGATTCCAGTTGAGAGTGAAGTTCTTGTTGAAGGGTCAAAACTTACACTAGAATCTTTAGAAGATCTTTTACGCTTTTTCTCCTTGTGTTTCTCCTTCTCCCGGTTCTTCTCCTTTTTCTTCTCTTCCTTGACTTCTTTCATGGGCACCTCATGCCTATAAATTTTTGTACCTTTTCGAGATCAAAAGTTCGAGATAGCATTAGGAAGAGGAAGCAACATACCTTCCTTCGTTCGGTTTCGATTTTTTAGGCTTGTTTGATGACCCGTCAGCCTCTCGCTTTTTTCTTTTTCCATCAGAAGAGCCACAAAATCGTTTTACCAATTCAAGGAAGGAGGCGGGAACATCCGTCATGGCAAATGTCAACTCTTGTTGGTGGAATGCATGAGCTTCTAAAATTGGAAAACTGAGATTGCAAACGCCAGATTGGCTTTGGAGGGAGTGAAAGGTGGGGAGAAAGAAAAAAAATTCTAGAATGAAAAAAAGAGGGATTAATTATCTCCTTGAAGATGAAGCTTAGAACTTGAAAATTATGAAAAAGTTCGTTGTAAAAAGCCTTGGAGAAAAGTTTTGATAGAACTTAGAATTCTTGAGAAATTTTCAAAGTAATGCAAAAGTTTTTTAGCTAAGCTTTCAATTAATTACTGAAAATCTAATCACGACCTTATGACTCCAGAAGAACTCAGTTTACCATTTTTAGAGGTGTTTTATTCATTTGCAAATAAAAGTAAAGTTCCTCGCGATCTAGAACTCAATGAGAAGAAATTTTGCAAAATCATTATCAGGAGGGGAGGAGGGTGGGGGGGGGGGGGAGGTATGAAAGCTTACCTAGCTTGAGATTCATATCATATTGTACAGGATATGGCTTCGCATGAGGGGTATTGAAGTAGATTGTGAGCTTCGGTGTGAAAGACGCATAGCCAGTCTCTTCCAATTCAAATGGTGGTTCTTTCAAAACTCGATATGGATTTGTAAAAGTGGGGTGCAGCTCGACCTCCACCTAAAAATAAACTTTTTTGCATTATCTGGAACCCAAAGAAGCCCCCAACCTTGCTCAAAAAACTCCTATCCGTGAATTTATTGCCAACTATGGGACGCACAAACAGGATCCATCTGAATCGGTGATTGTTTGGCATCGGCTTTTCCAGTGCAAACGATTCATGTCCGATGAACACCTGAACAATCGCAGACGAAAAGCTATGCAAATACATAAAAGGATGTAAAAATACATTTGCAACATTACAAAAAAAATATTTTTGTGTGGCAATTTGGTGACATGTGACATAAATGGGCAAAAGAGTTGCGCTCACACTGAATTATATCTTGCCCTCGCAACATTCAAAAATGATGTTTGAAACTATCTGGGTATCAGAATTTTTTTATTGACTACTGATAGGAATCCAAGCCACTGCCCAAAAGGCAGCTCACATGATTCATTTATTGCCGGAAACACCACCTTGGATTCGTCCATACTGTATTTTCGCGGACGCGACAGTACCACATAGAGTACGGTATGGGCGAAAGATTAGAGTTGACCTTCTCGGTTACGAAGAAGTCATATGAATCGTCCTTTGGGAAACGGCTTGCTCAAGGTTTCTCAAACAGTTTCCGTGTAAGCAGGCTAGGGGCGTTATTTATCAATCCCTCGATGCCCGATCAGGCGCCGTTCTACCTTCACAAGGACCCATTCGAGAAATGGGCAGTGAAATAGCTCCCTACGGGCATCGGAAATTTGATAATATTGCCCCACGTATTCAAATCTGCCTACACAATCTTTGCGTTGAATTGTTCCATGAAAACAAAAAAATAACAATATACAAAAAAATTAAACTTACTCTAACGTATGTAACCTTCGAATTTCCGCCCATTGTAATCGAGATGCATCAGCAAGTGATTTTGTAAGTAAGAAGTACACTGAAATGCGTTACGATACTGTTTCAAACGGGTATACGTAGGAAAATGATGTTAAACTCTCGAGAGCGAGCGTTGAATGAATAATGAGACGATAAAAAGGGTTAACAAAATGTGAGCATTGCGGGAAGGGAGTGAATCATGACAACGAGATGCGCTTACATAAGAATCTGTGTAGGCGTAATAATACATTCGCGGGATTTCATAAACAAAGTGGGGGCGAGAAAAAATGCATATCGATGATCGACGATAATGTCATAGCTGGGAAATTTGATCCTATTCGTATTTCACCCAATCCTCCCCCGCATGATAATAACCGTGGTTGTGGCACAAAGAAGGAAGTAGTTTCTGACTATAGTTTGAATATTTCTTATGCGGAAAAGGATATCTACAATACCGCTCCTAAAAAAAGCACATAGTCGCCCGATTCATGTGATATCACCTAGCGTGGCCATATCTCGCTTCGGAGAGGACAAATTCTTAATCCAAATGAACCATTCAATTCAGCTATTTTCCAACATATAGAAAGTGACCGCTTAGACGCAGCAGGAGGTCAGCTTCAGTTCAGATTTTCGCTTACGGTTGGTTACTCAGTGTGCTTATCACTGCACTCACTACTGTAAGCAAAAATTTGTAGAAACTGACCCTGTACTGTGTGCAAACAGGCACTTTCACATATCAAACGAGCATTGCGCTGAGCTGAGTATAATGGTGCCTTTGGATTAAGAATCTTTCCATTCGAAAGCGAGTATGGCCACGCCACGGTGATATCACATGAATCGGGCGACTGCGCGTCGTTTTTTTCCAAATTACGAGCATCTTAGTAGCCATAACCATCAAAAATAGAGGTGAGATGCTAAAAGCTGCTCTCAAATCTGTGCCTGACGTCTGCGAAGATTTTTCCAGCACAATACCGCCCATAAGAAAGACGCGATTCACCTGACAAGGGAACCGTGTCGAGTCGAAGTGGCCTTTCCAGATGAGACCCATACTGCTTTGAAGAGCATTAATCGGTGATTCCAAATCTGCCTTCCAAATCTGCCAAGCGCCTCTAGACGCCGAGTTATGCTCGTTTTTCAGGTCAAAAAATTGAACGCAAAACTGAAGCAAAATCGCCCGAACTTCCTCAATTGGTCCAGTTTCAAGTATCAGAGCTGTTTATGCAATGGTTACACTTTATTCAATATGCTAACACTTAACATTGCTTTACCTGAAGCGCTGGAAAGATTGTAACATTCAATTTTATCTAAATTCTGCATTCATTTTTCGTTCCGAAGAACGGTCACAACTCGGCGTCTAGAGGCGCTTGGCAGATTTGGAAGACAGATTTGGAATCACCGCTTAATACTCTTCAAAGCTGTATGGGTCTCATCTGGAAAGGCCACTTCGACTCTACACGGTTCCCTTGTGAGTTGAGTAGCATCACCGCAGTGGGACCATATCTCGCTTCAAGTGAACAAGTTCTGAAGGCACATTCAGTCGATCTATAGAGGCACCTGTTTGGATGCGGTAAGCGGTAAGCTGCCAGATTTTACTAGTGAGTACGAATTTCGTTTACGGTAGACTAGTCAGTGTGCCATGATTGGGCACTTTGAGTACCTGCAGCGAGCAAAAATTCAAGCGAAAGGTACACCTTCAAGCTGATTTGAATGTTGATTGGATTCAGATCTACTCTGAAGGGAAATATGACTACGCTACGGTAATGTCATCTAACTCAGTTAATCGTCTCGTCTTTTTTGTAGAACTCATGAACGGTAATGTAAGCTATGGTCGTTGCATCCAAAAATCTGCACAATTCTGAACAATGAACTTGGTCGAGCTGATCGAGGCATTATCAAAGTTTCCTTTATGCCACAAAGAAGCAACAAATCAGGAAATTCTGCATTTGAAGTGATTCATTTCATAAGCAGACAAAGAAGCAAGAAAATCCTGCCTCAACAGTTTTAATCTCCTTCTCTACCAACGTGCAAAATAATCTTGAATAATATTACTACTTTGATAGAAGGCCCCGTACCCCAAAAAGGGAAGGGATTTTTAATTCAACATTTGGTCATATAATAGTGAACACTTCTTTATAGAAGCCAAGCTCACCAAGTATCCTTCGCTTTTACACGGGAAAAGATGATGTATGATGAGATGAATTTTGCAAGAAAAAGGAGCCACTCAAAACAAGTGGTGGTTTCAGATGTTGCCTTCATAGTGGGAAAGGATACTTCGGTCGGAAAATAAGCCCAAACGTGCCGAAAAGAGTGGGGAACGTCAAAATATGCTCTTGGTAGAGCACTATTTGCAAGAAAATTTATGAGACTGGAGATAGGGGAAAAAGCGAGGGAAACCAAGCCACGTATGCCACGCGTTTTACTTGATCCTCTTGATCTGCATGATCCGCTTGATCCGCCTCGTGCAAAACGCGCTAGTTTGTCATTTGGCGTCGCGTACAGCGAATTCTCAGACAATGGATCGGACCCCTCCGCTGGGCAAGCCGAAACTGCCAGACTCGCGCCGGACCCAATTGACCAATGAGAGCGGGGCAAATGGGCGGTCCCTCGCGTGACATCACTGCCAGGCAAATGGGAGGCTTCTCCGGCCCTGCTGCAAAGGTCCGCCATTTCTCCGGCGCGACCCTGGCAGATTTGCCAGGCTCGCGCCGGACAAATTTGTCCGGCGCGAGCCTGGCAAATCTGGCGGAGTCGCGCCGGAGAAAATGGGAGGGGTCCGGAGCAGAAATGGGAGGCCTCCGGAGCAGAAATGGGAGGTATCCGGAGCAGAAAATGGGAGGTATCCGGAGCAGAAAATGGGGGGTATCCGGAGCAGAAGATGGGAGGTATCCGCCGGAGAAATGGGAGGTATCCGGAGCAGGCTGCGTATCGATTTGGCGCGTAGCAAGCAAACGTCTAACTCCACGGTGATGAGTCCTCTGTTTACGCTCTTTGTCCATATTTTAGTCGCCGTTTCTTTGATTCTGTTGTTTTTGCGCGTTTCTTTACCGTTTTTTCCTTTTCCGCGTTGCTCTTCGTCGCGTTGGCGTTTATGTTGCTGTGAGTTCCTCGTTTTCAGGTTTATGTTTGAAATTTTCGTGCGGTTGCACTCAATCACCTTCAGTGTTTGGCTCTTTCCGACTTGCTGAGACATCGTAGACTATTGATGGAGTGGTTTTTGTGATTAATTCTGGATTTTCGAAACAATGAGGTTAGTTGCGCAACTATCTAGTGTTTGCTTTTGGATTTACGTTATCGCTAATGATCTTTTACACCTCAAAAGGCAAAGAAGGAAAAGAATATTTGGTTTTTGTTATTGTTTTTTGCTCCTTCTTTGCTGCTGATTTTTGCTCAAGTAAGCTCCTTCTGGTCTCAGAGCACTATTCATATTAGCGTTGCTTGTTTTGTTGGAACGCTATTTTTGATGGGATCATCGTGCTCTGAGGCTGAGTTTGATACGACGTGCACATTCTTGAAGCTGGTATCATGTTTTGTTTCAAAGATAAGCATAATCTGTTCTGAAACTAGGAGACTCGAATACGCACTATAACGCCCGCGGTTCCGAGGTGTAAATTGGGGTTTTAGGTTTTGAGGTTTCCGAGGTTTATTCGCGCTTCACAGCACTGCACATATTGTCTCAACAAGCTTTTGTAGGTACTCGTTCCTCCCTACTTCAGAGTAGCAAATAGATAGATCACAAGTGTAAAGTTGCTAATCACACAATCAAACTTGTTTAGACAGTATGTGCAAAGCGTGCCCGAGTCTTTTAGTCTTAGAATATGTGATCATCTTCTCTGTGAATCAAATACAGAAATACGGTCACACGTTGCCTGACAGCTGATGACTGTGTCTTTCGAACTCCAAGTGCAGTGATTCAAGAGGAGATGAAGCACATACACTAATTCGTTAGTTAAATGTGCAAAGCATACTCGAGTATCCTTCAATCAAAGAAGGACAAATTCAGATATAACAGATCCGTTGGCCAGGTGAATGCAATTGAAAACTTTCAGTGAACATTTGCTTATACGGAAGTGTAGAAAAATTATTGAGACGTCAAAGTTTCCAATGGCTTGATTCCCTTGGACATCGCATTCACCCAGACTTCGCATCCGATTCGGCACTTCTCCGTACTTGGTTTGCCTTATGTGCACCTGCCGATTGAGCTGAATTGAAGCGTCACATCCTAACCCACAAACCGAAAATCCTGCACGGGTTGAGTAATCGAGAGGCTGAAAGGTGATTCTAAAAAGCAGTGCAGGTGCAGTTGGGAAATCAAACTCGGAGTAAAAATCGTTTCTGAATGACTTCTATTCTGAATGACTGTGAAATATTCCTTCCTGGGCGCGATCTGAACAAGCGTGACCCAAGCACACAGAGTGGATACGCGACGCGACCGCTCGCGCAGCCGGCTGTGTAGTTTTAAATGGGGCCTGCCGATGGAAGCACTGACTCGACTGTAACGTATGCCGAATCACTTATATCAAGGTTTCACGAACGGAATGTTGGTTTTCGAATACGTAGTGGCACGGAAAGTGGAGGTACCTCAAGTTTTGTCGTTTTTATAGTAATAATAGACGAAACGGCTTTCGCATCAAGTCTTTTCATCTTGGTAGGTGTCGGCTTTGCGAAGAACCAAGCGGTAAAAATGTCTTCTGGACGGTTTATCTCTTTCTGTGATGCGGATGATGTTTCGGAGCCAAGCAGATTACAGGAACAGTACAACTTGGCGATTTCTCAGAGGAGCGATTTGGTTTTTATTGGTGAGCTTGTCCAAATTCAACTTTCTTGACTTGCATAAGGGTCTTCTAATAAGCACAATCTCATATGTGACCTCGGCAAATTCTTGAGATTTCGCATAAAACCCGTTTATCCCATTACAACCTTGATTTATTTTTTCTTGTTAGATGTTGTACAGCTGTATCACTTTGCCCATTGCGTAGGTAGTAACTTCACCAGAATACCGGAAGGATCCACTGAACGCTATACTAAATGGACCCATGATTTGACAAACGAAGATTTGAAATTGCAGGTATAATCTCGGATCGTACAATCTTGTTGTTGCCCATCGGTGCTGAATGTGCTTCTACTTTAGGTGTATACGTCGCATGGGCCCACTCTTATAGCTCCTACATGGTTCATCTCAAGAAAACTCTTTTCTGCGGTAGGCGGTTTCAAAGACGACGTGCGCTTTGGGTTTCCCGAAGATCTCGATTTTTTCTACCGTGCATTAGACATCGATGATGTTGCATTCTCTAAAGTACGTTATTTGCAAATCCGTAATGCATATATATTGCTTTCGTCTCTTCAGGTATGTAAACCCCTAGTGAACTATCGTTCACTCCGGATGTGCTTCTTTTGGTGTTTCCGAAGCTGCTATATGGAACATGCGTGTTAGTCGCTTCTGCAGTCATGTGCTTCCTTTCTGGAAAACATTCACAATTTGGAATGCTGGCAAACAAGGAAAGCGATTTTTCAAGTGAGGTGGAATCTGCGCTCTTACATTCCCAAAGGTGAGTCAGTTTCGAGGTCCCTTTCCGAAAGTGATAAACAACGCGTTGTATCGTTTTGCGATGTCGACGTGAAGAAGATCAAACGAGCATGGCTGGAGGATTATGACGAAAAAGCACGAGTAGTTCGGTGGAAACTACCCATTGTTCATGTGAAGTGAGTTAGCATTCTGATGTGATTTGTGGTCAAAGGCACCGATCACCCAAAATGGGGTCCATGAGATTTTGAAAATGATTTGGGGTCCATGAGACGTTGAAAATTGAGCCAAAAAACATCTGGGCAGCAAATGGAATAGGTACGTTTCGTATCGGAACAAATGACTAATTTGCTACTTCTTTTTCGATCAAAAACCGTATGTTTTGGTTTAGGCTGCGTATTAGCATCGAAAGAATGTGGCAAGATGCCCGTGACATCTTCGCTCAAGTTCGTGAAGCTACCTCGGAATTCGAAGATGTTTGGATGAATATAACTATGTATATATCGAACTTGGACAATATGTCCCTGCTTTGCAAATGTGAGTTTATGGCGCTCCTCGCTGTTTTGTTTCATATTGCACAGAATGCTTTTTTGATCTTTTTGTCATTTTCTTACCATGTTAAAACCATATGTTTGTACTGTGGTGTTACAAGGTTCTTTTTGCAACTAGGAAATTAGCTTTTCTTTGAATATTCTTATCTCTAATTCCTAGTATGGTTTTTGTAATATGAATTAACTGTTGTACGTATGCTGGAGATAGATAGATAGATTTTTCGAAAGTTTGAAAAATTTGAAATAAATGTCTTATCTCTTCGTTCTTTCTTCTATCTTCTATCCACAAACGCTAGGGGTGAGAGGGAGGGGGTAGAGTACGGGGTGAGGGTCGCGCTAAACTCCTACCCGGGGGGGGGGGTCCTATTCGGCTTATTTGGGTGGGGTTTAGAGACAAAATTGGAGTTTGGAGCTTAAAGGCAGCGTCCAGGCAAGTCTGGACCTATGGGTATTTTACATGGAAAGTACTTTTGGGGCCCTAACTAAGCCATTACCCAACCGGCAGCTCAAGTAGTGCTCTAACGCCTGAGATATTCTGCTCGAAACCGGACCCCGCGACCGTGTTTCGCATGGATTCATGGCGCAGCGCGAAACTGCCATGAATCCATGCGAATACGTTCGCGGGGGGTCTGTTTCGAGGGGAATATATTCGCCATTAGAGCACTACCTGAACTGCTGCTTCGGCAGTGCCTTAGTTAGGGCCCCAAAAATACTTTCCATGTAAAAGCCCCATAGGTCCAGATCTGCCTGAAAGCTGCCTTTAATTAGGGCTAATTACAGTATGCTGCGATCGGGGGGCTCCGGCGCACAAAATCGGGGGGCTCCGGAGCAGAAAATGGGAGGTATCCGGAGCAGAAAATGGGGGGTATCCGGAGCAGAAAATGGGGGGTATCCGGAGCAGAAGATGGGAGGTCTCCGGAGCAGAAAATGGGAGGTATCCGGAGCAGAAATGGGAGGTCTCCGCCGGAGAAATGGGAGGGCTCCGCCGGACAAATGGGTGACCCACCGCTGGGGAAACGCCGCGACCCTGCCATTTCCCCAGCGGAGGGGTCCGATCCATTGTCTGAGTTTGCGTAACCATACAAAATATCACTTTTTACCTGCGTGGCGCCAAATGACATCCTAGTGAGAGCACGTCTTGCACGAAGCGGGTCAAGCAGATCATGGATTAAGAGGATCAAGTATGGCGCGTGCCTATTGCCTACTGCGCGAGTGGGAATCATCATCAAAGGTACTCATGGATGAAAACTGGAATGTGAAACACTTCACTATAACACAATGACCTCAAACGGATAACCGCAGTACGTATTTATTTATTTATTTATTTATTTACATACTTTGAGGGCTCACAGATAATAGAAGAAGATTTTTTTCATCCGTATAAAAGATCAAGAAAATTTGAAGTAGTAAGCAAGTAACTGATTATGAGTTGCATGCATTATTACGAAAGGTACATATGGCGCATGGTGGTATCCCATCACATGGACGCAATCGATGAGTAATCTTCTGGAAATTTACTGACCAAAAAAGTCTGAAATGTGAGATAAGGAGAGCAAAGTGATTGGTTCTGGGTAATTTTCGTCGTAAGAACGATTACGATCAAACGAGAACAGTTTCGAGAGACCAAAGTCGAAAATCAAACATGATGGAAGGTGGAAAAGCAGAAGGAACAATGGTTGTGCAATGGGCACTATTTTGGTTAGTTCATAAAGTGTTGAAGAGTGGAAACATTTACTAAAGGGCATAGAACACCCAAACTGCATCGTTTGCAGAATTTTTTTTCCAGATACTGCTACATGCTCGAGCAGAAAATTTGTACGTAATTGCAGGCGTTTGCAGCTTTGCAAGATATGACTCCAATGTAAGAATGTACATTGTAAACAATGTTTAGAGTATGTAGAAACCAGTTATGCTCATTAGAATAGTCGGAGAAGAGTGAGCGGGTCACAAATGCAAGTTGCACTATATCATTACGTGTATGTTGAACAATTAAACTGTCGAACCCAAAACAAGCGCGTTCTCAAATTAATCTATTTTGATCTTTACATCAACTTATGGCGCGATAGTAAGCAAATTGCAGTTTAATGAAGTTGTCAGAAGGCAAAGTAATTTATGTTTGCGATCCATTCCTTAGATGCAGCGTCCGGGCAAATTTCGAATGGAATTTTTTCTTTTACCTGGGCTTATTCCTCCCGCTGATTCTGAAAATGCAGTTGGAGGGCACGAAAACGCCGAAAAGGGCTTTTCCAGAAGATTTAAGATTTGTCGCCTGCCACCAAGGTTAAGACGCAGAGTCTTTGTGGGACCCTACGTCCTTACTGTGTGCGGTATGTGCTGCACCTGGCTTATCAAACTAACTCGTCCCGGTTGCCGAGGCGTTCCGGTCGCCACTTCTGAAGCGGATTTCTCGCTTCAGAAACAAATTGCGAGGTGCATTGCCAGTTGAGCAAGAGCCTTACAAAAAGCAAAAATCAATATGTAAGAGCTTTGTCCGATGAGTAAGAACTCAAATCCTTCTCATCCTGATTCAAAAACTCAGTTTTCTATCATCCAGCACCAAAAGTTTATATTAAGTTGCCCCAAAAATTCTGTCGTTTCCTGTTTAAAAACCTATAACTTTGCGTAAACTATTTGAAATTCCCCTTTGTAATTTTTCCAAACAACTTTTCGTTCGAACACCTTCTTGCCGAACTTCTACTACAGACTGACTGCACAGAGAAAAAAATAAAAAAGAAGTCCATATAACTATAACCATTTTGACTTAGGTCGTCAAAAATCGGGAACGCTGAAAATCTGAAATCGTTTCAATACATAAGTTTTTTGACTACTCTTTGCGAATGCGAAAAGTTTATCCTGTTCGGACGTCTCTGTAAAAAGTTACGAATTTCGAGTTTACTGCAGAAAACTCCAAAATTGATTAATTTGTCACTTTTCTCGAAAATCATAACTATCTACAGACACCCCCAAACAGCACAAACTTTTCACAGTAGAGTAGGTCAAGTTGTGTACTGACCATTTCAGTTTTTCTGCAGCGTTCCCGATATTTGGCGACCTAAATCAGAATGGATGAAGCTTGTACAGTCTTCTTTTCCCACTTTTATCTCTGCAATTAGTGTGTAGTAGAAGCTCGGCAAAACAGAATTTGAAAGCGAACCGAAGCGAATAGCGAGAAATTTTTTCCAGTAAAATGAAGATCAAGAGTAATTGGATTCTGGGCCTAAACTTCAGCATGAACTCCCAGTTTTCAGAATATATAGAATCGATCTAGGGAAACATTTTGAAGGTCCATTTTTGAGACAAAAAACAAAAGCTACGGCTTGCAGTCGCACAACAAGGTCTACAAAGGAAAAGGAGCAGCGAGATATAGTGATAGCGGCACCAAGCAATTACAGAGTTCGATTGTAAATCTCATAAGCTTTTTTATTTTCTCATATCTAATGGTCTCAGGCAATGTTGATTTATTAGCAATTTAGCGATATTGGTTAGTTACTGCGCTATCATTAGCTACTTTCGTACAGTTCCGCATTCATAATCCACCTACGCTATGTATCTATGTTATGTCGCATTTGTTGAAAAGCTCTGAGATGGACTTCCGATAATAATTACAGGAACACGAAAAAGGCGTATGGGATAGAAGATATCTGGAAACAGTTTTCCAAGGCTTCAACGGATGCAGAGGTATGAAGGACTGCAAAGAATGAGGAAGTTTACAAAGCATCGCAAAGAATGAAGTGGGAGTGTTGGGAGCGTAGGTGGGGAAAGAAAGAAAAAAGTCGGCATAGATCTAATAATAAAACTGTCAGTAGAGCTCGTCTGGCAAGAAACTGATTGATCCTCAAAATCGCTCCCGCTCCTCCCGTGCCATTATGTATGCAACGTCAGCATAATGGTTTTTGAAACATATCAAATAAAGAATTGAAATCATGCATTTACTCAATAAGCATAGAACAAAAATGGGAATATCGAAGGAATGTTAGCACTAAAACAACCTTAAAGCGTCCAAGCAAAAGCTGAGCTACTCAGACAATCGCAAAATAGTTCCGGAGAAAAATGAAGTTCTAACACTCCTATTGGAGCTGGCAAGTAGGGCGCGGCCAGGTAGGGAGGAGGCTCGATAGGAGCGTCCGCCCGGAAGTTTTAATAGGCAGTTTTCCCCCTGAAGTATTTGCGATTGTCTGAGTACCTCGATTAATAGCCTAAAAG